CAACGGCAAAGCTCAGTGAAAACGCAGAAGAAAACCGTTGAAATGAGGCGCAACAAACACTAAATTTAGCTGGAAGCAAGCAGGAATTATGCAAATTTATGGTAAATTTTACAAAAACATGAAACTTGGTGAAAAAGGCATAAAAACCAGTTTTGTAAGTGCTGAACCCATTAAAAAGCAAATAAATGTTAGCAGTGGTAAGCAAAAAGAGAAGAGACCTCCCCATGAAAGCTCTAGTTCCACTGCTCCCGCTCCTCTCCTCCCTTCCCCAATTCCCCCTGCGTCACCCTCTGTCTGCTTAATGAAAACCTGCTAAGTCACTGTAATGAACAGCAATACATCGGAACAGAGAGAAAGAAAGAGGATAAAATGATAGTTTTCAGCCAGCATAAAGAAAGACTTTAGAAAACACCCAGTAGAAGAGACCGACCACAAATGACTTCCACACAAAAAGCGTCAGTGTTGAAGTACAGGAATGCTGGTTGGGTTAAATCGTGCAAGCAAGCAAGGGTAATGGATTATCTCTCAGTTCAAAGCATCGAAAGTGCTATCAATGCTCACACTGTCTCAAAACATTCAGAAACACAATCTGCATGTTCCAAAAATATTTCCAAGTTTATTTTTCCCACTAGTGAATTTCAGTAAAGAAAAGCTTTCTCTCTATTCTCATTGCTATCGGCAGTGGGACGATCGCTCAAATAAAGATTAGATACCAACATGGGACATCGTTTTTCTTTCTTTGCTGTTAACCTCTTTTTATGCACAAAAATTTGAACTGCCAAAATACAGCTGAACACAAGTTATCATCATCATCATCGATGTTTCAAATGTGATTGGAGGGACAAATAGTGCTCAGTGCTTAGCCGCATGAAGTTTATGTTTCAATCAGTAATATTTCCAATTTACTTCACTACTGCTTAGCTCGTGGAATGGTGCTAATTAAGGGATGCTTTAGACTAATAAATTACTATATCCCAAACTTAATAACAAATTTCCCAAAGGAAAGACAGGTAAAAGAGGGAGATTAATAGGGGTTAGAGAGAGAGACACACACACACATTCCAAGAGAACACTTCTCTCACCAGTGCTGTTATTAGGTGTTTCCTCCAGAACAGTTTCCGTTTCATTGGTTCCGTGCAATTCTAGAGCGTAAAGTTGCAGAAGCTTTTCTATAAATTATTAT